CACGCATCTGATACGATAGCAGGAACGGCTGGAGCGATACCGTGAGAGGTCAGATGGGGGAGGTTAAGGCGGGGGAAGGTGCGGTCGGGTATGAGGTTGGTTGCCGTCGATGGGATGGTGGGCGGAGATGACGGCTGGCGCTGTTATTGTATCAACGATACACATATGAAGGTGAGAGAGCGGCGATGAGCCATCATCGAACAGAAAAAGGACACCGCATGTCTTGCAATCCAAGGGAATGTCGACGGCGCACCGCGAGCTTGCGCTTTCGCGGTTCGAACGCATTCGAACTGTCCACCGAACCGTCAACGCGTCAACGTTCGACGGTGCACGAGCGCGACTTCGAATTGGAAGCCTTCGCTGAGAGTCGAGACGCAGCACGCGATGCACTTCCCGCCTTGTACCCTTCGGTTCGAACATTGCGGTAACGGCATGCCGATCTTTCCGCGGTATTCCATGGCCAGCATTATTGGATGCAGATAATGGATATAGAGTATAGATAGGTGGAGGCTCGGACACGCGCACGCCACGCACGAACCATTGGATCCCGGGTCACGTAGATAAGAGAGCTGATGGCGAGAGCGAGGGCTAGAGCGAGATGATGCGGTCGGATAGTAAGAGTCGGTATTCCGTGAGACATGGTACGTCGAAGCGAGCAGATTTCTGCGAAGAACGCGTTGATGTTACTTAGGTACGACGTTAGCGTCGAAGGTCCGCTACCAGAGAGAAAAATCGACGCACTAAATAGTTACGGCTCTTGTCGACGCTTCGAGCCAGCGCAGATCGAGAGGTCATGAGGACGGCGAGGTCGACGCTTCCCCCTTCAGCTCGCGTTGGGCTGCATTGGAAACGGGGCGCGAGTTAACAGAAGTTCAGAAGGTGCGCGAGCCGAACTCACCGCGGTCCCAATCGCGCTGCTCCCACTCGTCCCTCCGCTCCCCCTCCGCTTTTCCGACCGTCCTCCCAAACAGCACCTCTTTCCACCCGATCGCCTTGTCTTCTTCCCCGATATTATCCGGGTTTCCTGCGCCTTCCCTCGCGAGCTTTCGTAGACGCGCCACCTCCGCGTCGGACACGACCTCGCCCGCGCGCAGACGCGTGGTGAGATCCTCGAGGATAGAAATGCGTGCGGAAAGGATTTGCTTGTCGGAAGCGGCGGCACGGCGGGCCCAGAGAAGATGCACGGACAGAGAGCTAAGAGCGACAGAGTAGACGAGTTCGGGAAGATAACGGCTGGCCATGGTTGGGCAAAAGAGTCGTGCTCCGCCGACGGAGGAGACAGGGAGGAGGTGAGGGCGAGCAGTGCGAGCCTCAGCGGGAGACTCGGACCGCCGTCACGCGCTCGGTTCGGTTGGATCGCCATGGCATGGGTCCTGCCGACGGTCCACGGGCCTCCAAACCGGTCTACGATCTGGGCGAGTCTATCTATGGCGCACCGACCTCCTCCTGGGTTCTCCGTCCTGTCGCCATAAGTGGAGATGGCCCTTGCGATTGAATATATTATTCTGTCAGGTCGAGGCGACAGACAGAGTTGCGTGGGAGAATGCAACTCTCTTTCTTGTTCGTTCCTCCGGCGAAATGTGCTCCTTACATGCACTCTCAACCACCTGGCACCAGCGTTCCGAACAGGGCACCCGCCGTACGTGGCTATCAAAGAGACAAAACCGGGCGTGTGAGGAAGGTGAGACAGGGTAAGGTCCCAAATACTCGAATAGAGTGGATCAGAAGGAGCGTGATGTGGTATGGAGGCCCGACGGCGGTCCCGGGTTCGAGCGGGGGAAACGGACGGACTGCGTCTGCGCCTTGGTTGAGAGGTTCGCGAACTCGAAGGCCTTGCCGAATTCTGAATCCAATTCGAAAACCCAAACCCACGCTTCCCTCGTCTCTCAAATACGCTCCTTTCCGCCACCCCACGCGCCCCTCCTTTCCCCCTATCCGCCCTTCTCCCGCCCTCCCCTCTCTCTCTTTCCTCCCGACAGCCATGGCCACCACCGTCGACAGCCATCCCGAGGCCCTCGAAAAGGTTTCTCTCACCTGCTCACCCACCTCCGAACACCGCTCACGCGCACCCCCACAGATATTCCAAAAGCTCGAGGCCGAGAGCGAACGTCGCGCACGCGAGGAAGAGGGCACAGGCTCCCTGGGCGGCACCCGCTCACAGAAACAACGGAGACGAACGAGCGTGTCCATATCGCGCTTTGGACAGGTACGTGGCCGTCGCATCCTCTATCCCAACCTCGCTCACGAACGCGCGCAAATAGGTCGACGACCCGTCCCTGCGGACGACAACATTCAGCCTCCCGTCGACCCCGGCCGCGCTCACCACGCCCCCGATGTACACCGCGTCCCAGCACCATGTGCGTCCCACATTTCCTCCCTCGCTCATAACCCCGCTGATGACGCGCACAGGTCCAAAGCTCGGATTCGCTAGAATCTACGTCGACCATCGAGGGCACGCCCGAATGGCGGCGCGAGTCAGAGCACGTCACGCAGGTGCATCGCATCGCCGCGCGGCAGAGCATCTCGCGTAGCGTGGGCGGCATCCTCCAACGCACGCTTTCGCGCTCGCGCTCGAAGAACAGCCTTACATCCGTCGGAATCGACAACGTCATTATCGGCGTTGTCGTCGAGGAGAACGCCACCGTCGAGCACCGCGAAGACGAGCACGACGTGCCTCGGCCGGAGAGCCGCGCCATGGTCTACGCACACGAGTCAGAGCCCGCGCAGCAGCAGCAGCAGCAGAGGCATCTGCGCACACAGGCGTCTAGGATGACCATTGCAGGCGGCATCGCTCCATTGGAGAAGGAGAAGGAAAAGGAGAAGAAGGGCCTCATGGGCTTCGCGGCGGGATTGGGGCGGAAGCTGCGAGCGCGGAGTCAGACCGTCGTGCACGCGGACGGTCGACCATCATGACCATTGTCGTCGCCTTTGCCGTTTTTCTCCTTGTCGCCCCCTTGCCTCTATCTATGCACTTCGTTCGTCCGTCGTCTTTTTTCTCTGGTGGTACTCCGGCTCTTTCACTCCCCTAGCCCCTCCCATTTCCCCCCCTTTCCCCCCCTCAGCTTCGTCTCATCTATCCGCATCTAGCATCTTGTCCCCATCTATCTATCCTCGTCGCATTTCAGCTCTCGCTTGATCCCTCCGCACCTACATTTACACCTCCACTTTCCCTAACATCCCTGCCGCGTTGCATGCGCACGCTGGCGTCCTGCGCACCGGTTTTGGTCCCCCTTTCGCCAGCAGGCCTGCACATCGACCCCCTCCTCCAATGTTTCATTAGTGTCCCCCAACCAACCAAATGCATCCATTCTCGTCGTACTGCTCGGTTTCAATCTAGACATTTATTCAAAGATCAGACATTTCCGACACTGCAATGAACACTTGATCAATATTCAATATTCGATACTTACATTGAGCGTGGTAGTGCAGTGGTTATTCTGGAGGATCCTGCGCCGCCGAGTCGGCGAGGCGCCTGTTCGCTGACACTCACGGGCCAGCGGTTCCATGAGCGGCGTCTACTGACAACAGCGTCCATCCAGTCTCCCAGAGGCAGACGAGATGATTCGTCAACGCTTTTCAAGTTCAGGATCTTCTTGGCGCGACCCCCCGTGTTCTGCGAGCACAGACGAGCGGCGCGTTCACGTCGTGTCCTGACGCGCCGTCTAGACCTCCGAGCAGTACGCAACATATCAACTCCCCCTCGCAAGGCGCTTCTACCGTCGAGTCGAAAAGTGCACAAACTTGGCCGGACACATGCGCATCTGCAAGCGGTGGAAGATCTACGCCTCCCGCGAGTTTCGCCACACTAGCGTCGCCCTCGAGATCACGAAAGAAGCTCTCGTCCTCGCCCGCGCCCCACCCCAGGTAAGCCACCCGTCCTCTTGCCGCCCATCTCCTTCCGTTGACGCGACCCCTAGGACAGGCCAAGGGATTCCTCCGTGACCTCGCCCTCTCCCACAAGGGCTACAACGGCCCATATCTGAGCGCGGTCGCCGTGATCGGTCACGCAAGCTCCTCTATGCACTCCTAGAACCGCTATACCGACCACATTTTCACCGATCTCGAGATCTGCGATGTCGAGGACTACCTCTCCACAGCGACGAGATGCGCTCGCTCGCGCCGCTCACCACCGCTTCTGAAGAAAAGGTGACGCCTTCCCTCTCTGCACATGGGCCACCCTGCTGACCGTACCGTAGACCGCCCTCGGACACGATGACATGGTCCTGCTCACTCGCATCGTGTGGGAACACTTCCTTGGCTCTCGCACCCCTCGCATGGCCATCCAAGACATCTGCATCACCGGTACACTCTACTTTTTCGGTGAGCGCATCGGTTCTTACGTCGAAAGTGGAGCCCAGCGGGGTTCCAACGAGGCTGCAAAGTACCGCGACATGGCCTGGTGGATCATCCCCAACCCCTTCCTCTGCTCGTCCTCCTCTTTACCGTTCGTCTCCTCAAGGGCATGCGTCGCGATGACTCGAAGAAAAAGAGCCTATCCCTGGTGGTTGCCGAAGACCCCGCGCATTGCGCCACTTATCCCCTCATCTCCTTTCTCACTCTCGCCGAGTCGCCCTCCAGGCATCAGCACTCCGGAAAGCGACCTGACGGCACCTGACGCGACCTGACGCGCCTGAATAGCACCGTTCGACCGTTGTCAAGTCGAAGGATCAGTGCTGTCAGGCGCCGTCAGGTGCCGTCAGGTCGGTCAGGTCACTTCCCAGAGTACTGATGGGACAACGTCTTCACCGATGTCACCTTCGTCCAAAACATCTTTAAGCCCAAGCACTCCGTTACTCAACAACACTGTCTCTCCATTCGCCCCGAAAAGATGCACACCGTTGTCTTCCGTGATGAGATCCTCTCCCATAATGGCAATGACTGGACCATATCCCCTACCAAAGCCATCCCTGCACTCTGCTGGTGTATACGCTGCACATCTTTATTCCAGAGAATCATTACCATGATGCGATTGTATTGAGCCAATTGCCTCCTACGATCACGGCTTTGTAGTGTGGTGGTTATCACAGCGGATTCTGATGCCGCTTCCCGCGAATATCACTTCCGCTAACCCAGGTTCGAGTCCTGGCAAGGCCTTGGGGTGGCCCTTCGACAGACTCTTTTTATTTGCACCCACTCACTCACGAGTCACCATGTAACATGTTCATTGCATTATATTTATGATTTTATCTATGGACTAATAGACTATGGTCATTTCATTGTCCCGGACTCCCTGATAGTGAGTGATACTTATTCATAGAGCAACAAACAACTGAACATGTTTGACCCTCCCTGATACAATAATATCCAAGAGCCTGTTTAAAGCGTGATGATACAGACTAAACACTAAGAAGTTCAACATTCAGTGCACTGAGACGGGGGATCCGAAGTAATACTTTCAAAGGAGACTCGCAATGTGATGATGCTCTTATAATTTTGCCACTAGCTGGTGAAACCTCGCTCGTTGCTCGCAAGGGCCCCGCCGATTGGGCCCCGGAAACAATAACCCCTTGTGCCACCCCACCCCCCACCCCCCACTCGGCGGCCGAACGCCTATATATTCCTGTCGCCTTCTTTCAGATATACTGACACACCCAGAACGATGCTCGTTGATTACACCCTCCCCCAACTCGACGTCGCTGCACAGCCGGCGCACTACAAGGGCAACAATAAGGACGATAAGATGTACCGTCAAGCACCTATCACAGCGCCTTTCAGGGCCTGGCATGCGTACACGGGCGACACGGGTGACACGGGCGAAACGAGCGACACGGGCGACACGGGCGAGCTGCAGCAGCAGGTACGGTATATACCGCACGCTACCGCACCGAACTGATTGACTCTGTGATGACAATGGGCACATGTGGGACAGGGGTTCGTAGGGCCGGAGTCAAAAGACGTGCGGGAGGTGGACGGCGGGCGAGTCACCCGACACGAGAGTGGATGGATGGAGAGACTGATGAAGAAGATCAGGAGGGAGACTCAGAGGGGGCGAGCCAACTAGCCGCAGTCATCGTGTGCGGGCACTATCGAATCAATCCATCAAATTGGCTTCAAGATCGGAAGCATGTTGGTCAAGCTGCCTGCCTCACAGTACTCATGATATAAGTACTGTGGTGGACTACAGGGGTCGGGATCAGCAGATCGAACCAGTGATAGGCGGTCTAATACACAATCGCATTTAGCGCCACCGGATCGAACATACAAATAAAAGAGAAGCTATGTAACTCACCGCCTGGCTAGTTCCTCCTGTCAATGATCTCCTGAACCCGCTCCCTACCCCCGCTCTCCCAATCATCCGCGCAAAACGACAGCATCGCGCTATCCCGTCCGCCCACAGACCCCTTCGGATCCCCCTCTCTCGGCGCGATCCCATTCCCATACTTGCCCTCCGGTAGGACCCACATCCAGCGCAACGTTCCCTCGCGCCGAAATCCCATTCTTTGTCCCGCCCCGAGCGACGGCGCATTCTCGGGGTGCGCGGCCCATTGCACGCGGCGCAGGCCCAGCCCGCGCGCGGGCGCTGTCGGGAGCTCCAGGCAGTAGCGCAGTAGCGCGCCGACCGCGTTGGACGTGACGTGCGTGCGTTGGAACGCGGGGAAGACGACGATCCAACCGATCTCGGCGGACAGATTCGCCGCGTTGGTGTTGTGCAGCGAGAGCATGCCCGTGAAGCTCCCGCCCAATTCGGGGTGCGCCGCGTCCGGTCGCACCTTGTCGATGATGGCGAACGCGGACCAGGCGGGATCGCGCCGGACGCGGCCCTCGAAGAAGGACAGCACGTCCGCGAGCGTGCGGTGGTGCGCGGGCAGGTATTTTAGGAGCTCGGGGTGCGCGAGGACTTGGTCGAGGTAGAGCTGCGCGTAAAGGCGCGGGATGAAGGGCACGAGCTTGATGCGCTCGGTTTCGAGGCTCAGGAGGTGGAGCGGGAAGACAAAGTTGATGTCATACGGGTTGGGGCCGTAGTTCGTGCTGAGGTCCTCTGTGGGCGGCGCGGTATGCAGGTTGACGAAAGACATGGTGGTGGCAGACGGAACATATCGAGATCCGTCGAGTTAAACGGGCGGCACTGGCAGCGAGTCACACCTAGTCAGACCATATTACTGCTGGATTCGCTGGACTTGGTAAGCGGGATATTGCGTATTCCGAGCTGGCAGCTACGGAAGGAGCCGATGGTGTTCGTATGTTGCAGTTGAGGTCAATGAGTAACTTTTAGGGGGAAAGTGTCCTGCGATACGGAAGAATGTTGAAGAAGTTCATCGTATGGCGTTCCGGCGCTCAAATGTCTGAAATATTCAATAGTTGTGATACGTGATCGTCCTGAGGATAGACGACCGAACCTTCATTTAGCCCGCCACCCAAGCTACAGAGTCTCCAATTCGAACAGGGTTCCGCACCACGCCTCCTCACACCGCCGGTCGTCCCAAATTCCCGCATTATCCCAGCTCGTCTCCGCTACACCCTCCATCGCCTTCGCAAGCGCGTCCGAGTACCTCGGGCAATCTTCGAATGCGACGCGTAAGGGCCTTCCTATCCGCCTGCGAGCGTCCGCTAGCTCTGGGAGAGCACGGTTTCCAAGGAGGATGTTGAGCGATGGTGAGCTGGGCGTGGCGCGCAGATACAACTGTGTGATGATTATTAGCTCCAGTGCCGGGAATAGCAGCTCGGGAGCAGCTCGTGAGTGTAGCAATGAGGTCGGTCGGGGAGTTGCAGCAAGGAGTAGGGCGGGGATCATTTTCCTTCCGATAAGCTTGAGCGTGGTCACGCGCACGAGCGGCGCGAGCATCTCTGTCCATTCTGCCGCAGTGAAAGTGTGGTCAATCTCGAGCGTGAGCGTGCACACGTCCGCGAGCGGGAGACCCGTGCAGAGGATGCGGTAGAACCGCATCATGTGGAAATCCGGCACGAGCCTAGCGTGGTCGCGCGCCTTGAAGGACAGCGTTGTATTCGCGCGCCCTGCGCCCTGCAAGTTTTTGACGACGCCCATGTTCTCTGTGTCCCAAGCGTATATGTGCACCCCCTGCGAGAGCGCAGGGACAAGACGCAGGCTGCGCGGAGGCCTGGCTTGCATGAGCGAACTGATTTGAGCGATGTCAGCGTCCTGCGCGAGTGAATGGAAGTTATAAGCGAGGATGCGGATAGAGAGGGTTTCAAGCGCGGGGAGGGAAAGGTTGACGATGAGCGACATTACACCCTCCATGTTGAAGGCATCTACGGTAAGAATCGAGAGGCGCGTAAGGACGATCGGTTGAGGTTCTTTGGTGGGTGAGGATGTCGAACTGTAACTGTTGCATTCAAGGCTGAGGAGGTTGGGCGTACGCGAGAGGATCTTGCGCACATCGGAGACGCGCATGCCACCCAGCGAATCGAATACTTCGAGTCTGTCCGATATGAGAGGCGATTCCGGATCCAACGCTATCTGCGGTCCCAGTCGTATTTCGCGCAGGAGCGGCGCGTGATGTCCGAAGATGCTATTATGTATGTGAAAACGAGGCATGTATGGGTCGTCGTCGCTGCTGTCGATGGAAAGCACCTCGAGCATCGGCGCGGGGGCGTTCAACAGCGGGAGGATCTTCTGTATTGTCGCGCCGTGTCCCTTCATTGCGAGTCGGCGCATCCGTGGCAGGCCTTTGCCCGCCAGCCGTTTCATGGGGTACATCCCGTGCAGATCGGCATTGATGGAAACGTCGATAGGGCCTGGCGCAGAACGCTCTATGAATTCGAACAACCATTTGTACGGCAAGTCGTCGATGCGACTCCAAAGACGGGGGTACCCGAGCGCGACGGCACGCCAGTGACGGCATACGAAGGAGAGGTACACCCAACGTGGATAGAATCGTCCATGGTGGTAGGAGTGGTAACTGCTCTCGCAAACGATAGTGAAGATGAGCTCGAGAAGTTCGGTGGGGAGACGCGCGATGGGAACGAGGTCGTTGTGCTGCTGTTTGAGCGCACGGATGGTGGCTTCTTGGGCGCGTATGAGGTTGTGGAGGTCTTGAATCTGCCCGTCAATTGTGGAAAGGCTCATCGTCGACGGTTTTAGGATCTAAGGTCCGATGTCAGCCTTGGGCCGCAGCCCAGGGAGACATGCCACTTGCCTAGGCCCTAGATATAAAACGCGAAGAGACGGCCACTCCGAGCGAGTCGGAGGTGGAATCAAGTCCGAGCCACTCCTATAGAATAAGCACAGCTTCTGCCCACAGTACGGTCACGTGCGAATCTCGACACTATACTGACCAGTAACTCAGTGCATAGCAGGAGGTAAAGACAACAGGACATCAGGAAACCCCAGAAGAGAAAGTGTGTAGGACTGAATAAAAATACAGGTGATAGACCAGAATGTCACAACCTCTCACAAAACCAGCGTTGCTGGCGCATTCGTCGACTCCACCGCGACCTCGCCCTTCCTATCCTTATCCTCCCATTCTTCGCCCTCACCCACCCATGCGACCGCCCCCTGTACCACCCCAGCCCTCTGGAACACCCTCTCTACCCTCCTCCTCCCCTTCCCCATGGGATCACTCGCGGCATTCTTCGCTAGCGCCGGCTTCGCATTCGTCGTGCGCACGGCAAACCCGCCCTCGTACGCGCCATCAAGCTGAACCAGCGCGGGAGCATTCGTCGTTGACGCATGTAGGTCCAGCACAGAGTCCGGCGGGGAGACAGCGTGCGTGACGCTCAGTGGCTTGTTGCTGGTATGTGCGTTGATTTGGAAGATCCCACCAGTGTGGGAGGTGGAGGTAGAGGTGAGGGAGAGCTTCGCGGTAAGGGGCCTAGAGAGCGTGGGGTGTGAATGAAGGGTCGGGATATCTGGAATGAAGTGAAGTCGGCGTACGCGTTCTTGGTTTCAATATTAAGGGTCGTGGGGATTCCATTCGCGGCGTTAAGCGCGTCGACATCGACTGCGATAAGTCCGTTCTTGCTCTGGAGTTCGAGCGCTCTCGTCACCTTGAAGACACCGCTGATACGGTGGTTGCTCGTGATGACGGATATATTGTGAGCGTGCAGGTTCTACCGGGCCCCAAGGGTGAGAAAAAAAAGGTAGGCATTGCGTAGCGGATAACGAGAGCTTACCTTGGCCTCAACGGCGTTGTTCG